TTTTTTAAGTTTTTTTAGGGGGGAGACTTTATATTATTTTTTTTTAATGGAGGTACCGAGGATTGAACCCAACACCTCATGCACGCGAAGCATGGGCTCTATCACTGAGCTACGCTCTCCCCCTACCATCCACTTTGAATCCATCTCCTCCTTTCCCTCCGCTCCACCTGCCCCCTCTTAGGGCCACCACTCCCCTGCCCCCCCAATAACTGCCACCTTCTCCTCGGCGGCCCCTCCCAGCAGCGCAGGGAATTCTCCGCCTGAAGCTACACTGGGACTGGCCACTGGCCCCTCTGAATGCTCCAGCCTCTAACTGCAGCATGGCCTTTCCTTCCAGGGTGAGCCCAGGCTCCAACCCCCAGCAGCAGGGGCAGTGCCAGGGCGACCACTGGCAGAGATCACGCCCTAGCTGCTGCCGGTGGTTGTGAAAGGCTGTCTACACTGATCACAGTTTGGAAAGGGGGGGTCATTTTAGACCCACCACCAGATCTCACTTTCCATCTGTTAGTGCAGGGCAGGCGTTACAATGTCCCAAAGGCGCTTTTAGTGTTCTGCTTTGACACCTGCTGCTCCTATAATGGGCTTCCTTTGTATTTTTATCATTCTTTTATTCTTATGTATTTTCATTTTTCACATCGACAAACAGTATTCTGGGCAGGGGCCCGTGGGCCTCACCAGATGTCAAAGGGGTCCGTCCACAGCACAAGAAGAATGAGGAAGCCCCACTCCCGGCAGCGCGGCCAGCCCAACCTTCCTGAAACGCCGGCAGGCTGATCTCGGGCTCACAGCTGCCAGGGCCGTCCTGCCCGCGGGCCCCGCCCTCGCGCTCTTTCAGGACCCTCCCGCCTCACGGCCGTCACCGCTGCCCACTTCATTCACTCACTTCCTGAGCAGTCCCTGCTCCTTCGGAGGCCCAGCCTCATGGTCACTGCCTCCCGGAAGGGCCCCCAGGTCTGACCTGTTCCATTACTCCCTGGGCTCTCTGTGTCCCCAACGGGACTGGGAGCTGCACGCTCAGCTGCATCTTCCCTGCACGGCCCCAGAACCTGGGACACAGCAGCCCCCAGCAGATCCTCAGGACATGCTCGTGGAAAGAACCACCCCACTCACACATCACTCAGTGGAGAGGCCTGAACTGGCCGTGCACCCCCTCCTTGTGTGCAGGCCAAGCCCAGAGGCTGCTGACCCGCCCTTGGTGAGAGCAGACCCCGCCAAGCACACCTCCCAGAGCCTCCTGTGCCATCTCAGGCCAGCGCCGTACTCGCTCTGACCCCCTCCTTTTAGGATTTCTATCTGAGCAAGGGTATCTGCTACCTATAAACAGTAGGAAGACCCTCTGGGAAATCTGAACGTTAGCAAAGAAAATCAATTCGTGATGGATGGGGCAGGCAGGCACATGGGGCATTCTAGACAAGGAGCCTGGTGGCCACTGTCACCATTGCTGTGTGTCGAGATGGCACCAATGGGAGAGCAGAGCTACAGGGCCCAGGGGACCTCCAGCTAGCCCTACCTGCAACCCTTGCCAGAAGCGCCCTGCCCACAAATCTACCTTCCGATTGTAATCTGTTTCTCTGCCCTGACCTGGCTTTCCTGCAGGGAAGGGACGACTGACAGACCTATAGGATGGTCACTGTGACTCGGTGCATGAGTCTGGAGAGGGTGGACGCTGAGCCCTGAGGGTCATCTGCCAGACAAGGTGACACCCGCAGCTGACAAGGGGGAGCCCCAGGAGGCTCTGCCGACTCACCTACGCCAGGCCCTCCCTTCTGTGAAACAGGACGACAGCCCCCGTGTTCGTGAGGACTGGACTTCCACACACGTGCGATGCAGCGATGCTGGTGAAAGCAGTAAAACTGTGTGTGTCACTGCTGGTAAGTCACAGCGCCCCGCAACCCCCCATGAGGTCACAGGGGCAGGATGCACACCCACTAAACACGGGCGTCCTTGCCCAGCTTTGAGGGTCAAACTAGATTTTTTCATCCACAGTGAGACAACAGTCCTTATGGCCAGTCTTTCTTAAGAGAGAAAGCGTTTTTTTTTTGTCTCTAAGGTATTGCTTTATTGCTCACAAGCAGAGCCTGGCCATTTTGGCTCACGGAGTTTGACTGAAAGTTGTGGTGTAGAAACGCAGAAGGCAGTGACGTGGGGAGGTCCCGCTGCAGCCGGATGTGGGGCAGGAGAGGACAGAGAGAGCAGGGGGAACGGCCAGCTTCCCTTGACTCCTTCCACCCCTGAGCCTCAGCTCACGCTGCAAGTTGGCGGGCGTGTGTGCGGGACAGAAAGGGTAAAAACAGTCCGGCTATTTGGGAATAAGATGCCCTCTGGGACCTGGGAGGGGACAGGTTCCCATTAAGAAGGGGTGACTTCAGGGAGACAAAATGAAGTCCAGTGCCCAGCTATGCCGAGGGGTCCAGGGACAGCGGCAGGAGAGCTTCTTATTCGGAAGGGATGCAAGGTTGGGCTCACATAATTAGCTCATTTTATGTTCCTGGCAGCCCTTGGAGGCCAGAGGCGGGGTGGTCAGCCTCACCTGAGCGATGAGGAGGCCGAACTTGGTCCTCGAGGGAGGAAGGAGACCCAGAGCTCTTCCCAGGTCCTGGTCCAGACCCTGCCCATCGGGACCCGGGAGCCTCCAGTTCTCCTGGCCTCTCCACTGGGGCCAATGGCGGCCACTCTCATCTCGGCCAGAGACTTCTGTGTCCTTCCTGGACACTGGGCAGGTCTGGCCCTGCAGGAGGTGGCCAGAACCCCAGGAGCCCTGCCCCTCAGCACTGAGCTCCCCAAGGTGGAGGCCTGCTGGGGTGTGGGGGCGAGGTGGCCAGAGCCCTGGGGGTCTCAGGCCGCTGAGCGAGGAAGCTTTGCCTTCCAAGATGCCCATCAGCCTCCAGCTCCTGTCAACCAGGCTGGGCTGGGCGTCCTGACCCTGGCCTTGGGGACCAGCTGGGTCCCCAGGCCTCTGAGGAGCTAAATGGGGCACGTCCTGGGCACGCCCAGCAGAGCCCAACAAAGCCAGAGAGGCGGCCAGGCCTGCTCCTGGGACGCCCCGGCCCTGCCCTGCCCGCCGCGGCCGGCCACTGTGATGCTCCTGTCACCGTTTTCTCCCAGGAAGCCCCCCGCCCCTGCCACAC